GCTGTTTCATTTCATCTGTGAAATTGACACAGATGAGATTTGCTAGGTATTAAGTTTAAAACACTCTCAGTAAATTATTGCATAACTTCTTATAAAACCTTACTGTCAAATAACTTATATCGTCGGCCACATCAGTATATAGTAATAATTTTGAGCTAATATCCAATATGTAGGTTCATAAAGATTGTAAAGAAAAATTTACTGGATCATTTTTATGTGAAGATTTGAACCCCATCCACTGTCCGGAACAAGTGAAATTATTTTAATAAAAGATTTCTGTTGATAAATTTATATTTTGAAATCCCTTGAGGAAACGCAGGAACTTTTGCTAAGATAATCGCCTTGTTGGTTTAGGATGATGTCTAATACTTTCTCCTTTAGGTTCCGTAGGTAAGGGATGACAACTGGGGCCTATTATTAATCCTTCGATGACCAAGAAAACACAACTGACTGACAGAGATGGAGGGACGCCTGTGTCAGCGAGTTATATCTCTTGAGCCGTAATACCTAGGTAGACAGTTGAATTTCTCACAAATGGATATTTCCATTGCCTAGGTATATTACGGCAAATAACAAATATTTACTAAAATCCAAGGAGGTCCTCAAACAAAAGTATTTATTTTCTAGTATATAGTGTTCAATCTTGTACTTACAATGACAAAAAAATCCTTCATTACATAATCCAACTAAAACTTGGCCGATTTTCTTACGTCCCTCCTGACTATGAACGCAAAAAATAATCTTCTTACTATTCTGTAGTGTTATGATGCAATGCAGTGAATAAATTTGCAAAAAAGCTCTCAGTGTAGAACAATACATATGAAGATGGTATATTACTTGTCTCGCACCCTTTCGAGATAGAGATAAATTACTAGGTATATAGATGACTTTAAGAGAAAATAAGGTAAATATTATATTTCATAAATTATCCTAGAATCGGCTCGTACCAAAGGCACCTTCAAAATAAATCGATCGAACTTAGCAAACACTGGGATTCTCGAATCTTTTCTCACTCTCATGATATCGATTATTCAAAACTATAAATTTTAATTAGGTACATACCCACCCAAACAAACCCATATATTCTACATTTAAAGTGAATTACTAGAATTAATTCAATGTTTTTGATTTGTAACATCTTTCCTCTCGCTTTCCTGCAATTTGTGGGAGTGATTTCGTGAAATAGGACGGAAGTGTGTAACAGAAAGTCGCGAAAACTCGTGCTATTTGATTTGATTTTGGAACATAATGTTCAAATGTTCTTTATCCTTTTGTAGTAGGTTTTATTTCTTTTTTTACTAATACAAAGGGAGGTTCCAAATATTATAAATCATACGCGACTACTGTAAGGCTCGCTTGTTTTTTTTTTTAGTTTTGCAAATAATGTAATGTATATTCCGCGAACGAAAGAGCTTTATTTTAGGCGTGTGACACATCACGTTACTCTCTTAAAAGCCGAGTAATTCTTTCTGCTTCTCTCCATTAGTTGCTAAGTACATGAGTCAACTTCTATTATCCTCACTTTCCACCGTTACTGTAGCAGTAAATTCTCTCTTTTACTCGGAGCATATGTGACGTACATTTTGATAGAGTCTGTGCGGAAAGAGAATGGGCGTGGCGAAAAACGGAACTAACATTAAGATTTTTATTTGGCAATCAAACCCAGCAATCTGTAAAACGTCAAAGTTTTTTATTGATACGGATTTGTTTGTTGCTGTGATTTCTTGCGGTTTTTTGTATTGAAACATGTTTAAAAGGGGTAAAACCTTACAAATACGGTAGAAAAGCACTACAGCGCCCTCCAATCTAAATCCCATTCTCTTTCCGCACAGACTCTAGCTAAAGTGGCGCAATGCAGAAACTTCCTGATTAATATTCTGGTGTTACTCTCAAATCTTGCTCAAGATACCAAAATACCTAAGTTATTTACGGGATTGTTACCATGTACCTTTTTCATGATCATGGCGCTTACAATAGTGCCGAAATATCGGAAACTCGCGAAAAACAAGGTACATGGTAACAACCCTGCAAATAACTTATATTACTATAATGTTAGTGACCATGAAAGTTTGAAACAATATGAGATACCAAAATTTAATTAAACGAGTGAAAAATACATAAAATCTGCCTTTTGATATTTATGGATCTCTAATCGTGAAACTCAGTATGAAACCATCTAAGACACGGAAGATTAAGGGTAAAATACACTGATCGATGGCCTTTCTCAATATTGCAGAGGAAAAGTAGCACATTAGTACGCATTATACTAATCGGCCTCTTAAGGAGTCAGTCATACGGACACATTCGCAACCGTTCGAAATTATATGAACGGAAACCGAAACATCATAAAAACATAGTCTTTTTTGTTGTAATTCGGTCGCGATGGTTGTAACTAACTAGTGTAAGTGACTAGTTTGTGAACCTTTTTTTATCTTAGATGCACGTCATTTTTGGCGTTGACAACCAATGCGTATGGCGTCCCATACTATCGTACCTACTGTTTTATATGGACCAAGGGTGTCGACAGCCTGTGGCCTAGGGGGGGGGTTGCACATCTTAAGTGGGGGCGCCAGATTTGAAATGAGAACCTGCTTATGTCCTTCGTATATTTACTGCTGCCCCATGTCAAATACACCTCCCTCTAGCTATGGAATCACATTAGAGTTTACAGAGAGCAGAAATGTTTTAAAGTGAAACTTTCATTACATTTCCGCAAATTGTTTTGTTCATCTTTAAGATTTCGCATTACATTTTTAATTGTTATGAAAAAAATTCAATCCTTATCAACAAGCAAGTGGTAGAAAGCTGGCCTGCGACGCGCGCGACCTGGGTTTAATTTTCAGCCGAGGAAGGGATTTTTCATTATGTATGAGTTGCTGAACGTCGTCGGTAGCAAAATTCAGCACACGCGTTTTTTGTAAGTAAAATAATCAATTAAATGTCTGCTATCGTCTACGGCCCGAAAATCATATGAAGCGATGTAAAAAACTTTTAAAGTTTTTCTTGCATCAAATCAAGGTTTCATAAAACAAAAAAACAGAATATGAAAAATTGCGAGAATATAAAATTCTGATTTTAAAGGTTGCTGTGTGTGTTTTGGTAGTTTAATTTAATGAGTAATAGTAACGAGAGTTGGTGATATTAACTACCACTTTCAGCCTGAGGCTGCTTAGGATACTGCCAAGAATGGAGCATTAAAAGAAAGAGAGAGAGAGATGAGTGTAGGAGGATGCAAGGTCGAAAGAGAAGGACTAAGAGGAGGAAGCTAAGATAATTGAAGATAGGATCGAAAATAATATAAGATCCCGTAGAAGAAAAATTAGAGTGCGAAGAAAGAGTCATATTTTATAACACATGCAGCAGTTTTTGGTCAGTCAGGCAAGTCAAATGAGTGGATCAAGCTTTCTATGTAAAAACCTTTAAACCTCCCCCTCCTTGGCGACGCCCTAGATATGGACAAACCGTCGATAGCTGTCGATTAATTAGTTTGTCTTGGCCCTAAATCTGTAAAGTCAGCATATTTTCAGCTTCTCTGTAAGCTACTAATGTATAACAGATACTTTAATATGGAAGTAAGACAATGGATATTTTAAGTCCCAAGTGATTGAAGTTTCCTTTGAAACGGATGTAAGTATATTCCCCATATTTTCAATTTATACGAATATTGATGAGGTTAATAAGTATGTTTTCCTATTCAGTTCCCGGTGGGATACGGAGTTTACGGAGATCTTAGTATGCTGCTTAGTTTGGAGTTAATATCGCTTGGTTGTTCCGCCACTAGGGCTTTTACCCTTCCTTCTCTATTGCCTATACCTAATTAATATATTATGGGATATCTAACTAGGGCATCGACAACTAACGCTTTGTGTTATCAATTTACTTCTGGATTCTTATTAGGGGCCCTTAAACTTCTTTTGTTATAAGTCGGGCTTACTTTGTTATCTTGAAATTGAATTAATCTTGGCAATTCTGCTCTATCTTTGTCTGTTTCTAACCAAAGGAGAGAATTGCGTGACCAGAAGTAATTAGGCAGGTAGCTGCCTACATTATATTCTATTTTGCTTTTATCTATTCATTCAAACGGCTAATCCATTAGTTCTGTATTAAATGTATGTACGCCTGTATTTTATAATTCAAACATTGTCATAAAAGATGCCAGTTCATGTTACTGAGGGGTATTTTTACAAACCCCCTGAATTTTTAAACTAACTACTTATTCAATTACGATGGTTATCGCACGCATGCACGTGATAAATATACCTTTTTTTTCTTTTGTTCAACTTAATATAATAATTGGAGCATCTTGTAAATTTGTAGTTATATTACAGCGTAATTGATGAGCGGATTCGTCAGCATGTACCTTGGTTTTTTCGAATTCCCGATATTTAATAATAATATAATGTTAGTGACCATGACAGTATGAAACATTATCTGTAGTTATATAACCAACATTTCCAATCAAGGCTATCTTATTAGCTCTACCATTCATTTCATTATAAATAATCAATTGGAAAAGGATATAAATATATGTACCTACTTAAGTTATAATCCGACCGATTGAATTTAAATTATAAAATATACTACATAAACCAAAATCTTTAATGTTGGATGTTAGGGTTTTTAAAAGAATACAATATATGAAACGGTATAACGGCAATATTAAAATTTAAATACATAAAATTAGTAGAATATTGTATGTTTTAGAATTGATTTGATTAATTATAACAAACATATTTTATGAACAAAAACTTGAAATATTTACGTAAGTATTACGCAATATTTTCCCGACGCGCTCGAAAAAATAAAAGAAGCAACATTAAACTTTTACAGCGCGTTTAGTTATAACAATACAACGCTCTTTCAGGCTGCCACTATTTTACACGCGCCGTGAAAACATTACCAAACGCTTTCAATCGATTTTCGACTTAGTGGCTCATGCTGACAACGCAACGTTACGTTCCAAAAAGGAGGTTAAAATCAGTTGTAAATGCGGCGCTTACCTGTCCAGCATGCAGGACGTCCAAAAATATGGCAAAAACACTTAAAAAAAGCACGGCGCGCGACATTTTTGCGGCCGCGAGTCGTCCCGAGCACTGACTGTACGGGTAGTGACGTTCGTGCGGGACGCGGCAAACCTGCGTACTAGCTGTAGTCTGTACGCCACCGTAGTCGTAGCTAGTGTCGTATAGATCGACCCTCCCGGGAGTGACAGGGACGCGAGCGGAAAACCAGCAGGAGCGAAAGGGACAGCAGTGCTGGGATAACGCACGCGCGCTGCCGCTAAAACACTTATAACGCAGCGCACAATAAGGACGTCTCTCGAACTCATTCCCGATTGCCGTCTTCGTCTGGCTTTGTCTGGGCTTCCCGATGATGCATCATTTTTCGCCAGCCGTGAACCGTTCATAATGCGATCCTAATTATCTTGATTTTTAGCTGCTTCCTTCCAGCCTGAAATCGGAGGAGCACGGTTCACTTGTAATTACCTGAAAAATGATTGAGGAAAAGCGATATGCTACGCATCTTTTTTCATAAGCTCTACATCTTTTTTTGATAGCTATACATCTTCAATGTTCCGCACACAAAGGATCGCAGCAGAAATATATAACTAAGCGTCTGTCCGTATGTCCATCCGTCCATCCAACCAAATAAAAACAACATAAAGTTAAAAATTTCACCAGCCCACCATTCATGAAACAATTTACCGAGTTTTTTGGTATTTCAAATATACGATGATACGGGCCCATAATTGGACAAACCCTTCTCGCAATTAACACTTTTTTTATATAGACCTTATACGTATATATTTTTATGTATGAAACAGCTTGTGAATCTTAAAAGAAGTAAAAAAATTCTTCAAAATGCACATAAAAGATAATTATACTACTTATTTTTTTTTAGGTTACTACGTAGACAATTTTACATGTCACTGAACACTTAAGTTAATTATTTCAACATGACTTGGTAAAAGATACAGGTGTACTAATGTACATTATTAAAAGATTACATTTTTTTACATTATTATAGAATTCTACTTAAGCCATTTGTAGAGTTCATAGGTAGAGCATTAAAAATTCCACAAAATTATATATAAGTGATATATGAGTATCATCATCATCCCACGTTCGTCCACTGCTATAATACGAGTATGTATTTATATAATTATTTAGTACTATATTTATTGGCAAATGACCAAAGGATAGTGTCAAAGTTCAAAACAAAAGCAAAGCTATCCCCTAATATCATTAGTACAAACAAGGTGTACTTACCACAATGAAAAATCTTTAAGAAAAATCAGGATTGGAGCTTCGGCCTCTCTCTAGCTAGCTGACAATGTTTTATCATTATTTTTTTATGGACATCATTACGTCCATAAAGAAATAGCATTATTCAGATTTCAAATAAACTTGGCTAGGTAAATCCTACGACTTATTTTATAAATAACGATTTAGGTACAATACAACCTCCTAGACTCGAATGGTCTGAAAACCTTCGTTCTACCGATATCAATGCTATTTCGTTATAGCTTGTCAACATATTTTATGTCTTGTCACATAGTTTATGTTGGATAAATAATGCGAGACTTCTAACGAAATAATAAATTAATTGAGTACATTGAAACCTTTATGTCTAAAAAATTAAATTACCTTTTTACTTACTTATATATAAATTACATGTTATTCTCATTACATTAGATTAGTAAATACAATATTTAAAAACAAAATTGATCGAACTGAAAATCAAATCTCCTAAACGGATATCTCAGTATAGTAATTGAAAGAAAAACAGTGAAATCTCTTTTTGTTAGCCCAAAAAATCTAACTCTAAGAAAATTCGTAGTGAATCTCCCATTAGGGATTATTGAGGATTTATTAGTTCTCTGTCGGGCGAATCCTCTGAGTGCCGTGGTAATAGATTAAGACGACTGTATATTTTCAGGAGCTCGATAGTGAGACGGAGTGATTACAGAAGTTAAGCAACTTTAGGAAAGGCCACTCCCAGGATTGGTGGCCCCAATATGCAGGTGAAAATGAAGATCGTGGTTGCAGGAAAAGTACCTTTTATATTGATTATGTTACTGTTACAATACTGAAAGATAACATTCCTTTATTTTCAAAAATAATAAAAACTACATTTAAATATTTTTGAAACCACTAGCCGGTGTATGTACTTAATACGGCTGAATGCAGAATACAATTGTAAGTAGGTAGGTACATATCGCACAGAAATAGTATCTATCTATCTATATATATAAAACTCAAAGGTGACTGACTGACTGACATAGTGATCTATCAACGCACAGCCCAAACCACTGGATGGATCGGGCTGAAATTTGGCATGCAGGTAGATGTTATGACGTTGGCATCCGCTAAGAAAGGGTTTTGGTCAATTCTACCCCCAAGGGGATAAAATAGAGAATGAAAGTTTGCATGAAACTTTGTCAATTTTAAACCGATCGGGCTGGGACTTTGCATGCAGGTATAAGAAGAATCATAGATGAATGTCATTGTGAATAATACAAGCCTGAGAACAAAAACTGTAGTCTACACTTCAGCTCTACACCGAAACGAAGCGAGGGCGGGCCGCTAGTATAGTATAATAGCTGTGCCCTGCGGTGTATTAGGGATAGTTTCCCGCAGTAAAACGTAGCTTATGTGTTAATCCAAGGTGTCAGCTAACTCCATACCCGATTTTATTAAAATCGCTCCAGTCGTTTATACGTGAAGAAGTAACAAACATACACACTCACAAACTTTCGCCTTTATAATATTAGTGTGATTAATATCTTTGCACAGAACTAACTTAATCTAAAGGACATTAATTAAAAATCTCGATTTCTGTTTATAAATGCCATCTCCCATTGGCTCCAGGTGTTTTTTTATATTAAAAAGGGGACAAACAAGTTTATGGCCTGCCTGATGGTAAACGGCCACCATAGCTTTTCGCGATACTAAAAATATCATTCTCACGTTGCATAATATCCTGACCCCTACCCTGACGAGCCCTGAAACCTTACTAATCGACAGAAACACTACACCAACAATAAGGTAGTGTTATTTTATTGTGGTCTTCTACTTCCCCTAGGCTAGGCTACTTCTCCAGACGCGCGCTGCAATTCGAGCAGGAAATTCTTTTTTTTTAGTGTGTATGCTGTTGGTCGCAGGTGACCTTTACACCATCAACGGGTTTGGGGACGGCGAGATCCTAAGGGGACCTCAAGCCGGGAATTGGCGAGTGCCTCTAGAGGTATTCCCGGTGGATGGCAATAATTGCATGAACGCTCATCATCATTATCAATAGCTTATGAATATCCTCACTGCTGGGGCATAGGCATTCCCAATGGATGGAATAGGGAGATTGTGCCATGACCCACCACGCGGGCCCAGTGAGGATTGGCGGGATCTAACGACTTCAGAAGCAGCCCATCCAATGACCGACCACTGCAAAAGTTACTTAACTTCAACGATCGCAGCCGAATGTGCTAACCTACGCTCGCTATGATATATAGATAAAATATTTTTATTAAGAGGAAACGGGGCATAACTGTTTAGGACCCAGGGGCCCACGCACGAATTTTGACAACTCCGTAATCGTATCGCATCGTCAAAGTGTCAACGAAAACTTAGCAGCGCCCCTACCGGACGTAAAAACAAACTAGCTCCTACCATTCAAATGTTGAGGATGACGATACCAAAAATTTTAAATATTTCCAACACACACTAATTAGTCTAGCCCCAAAGTAAGCACTATAAGGCTTGTGTTAATGGATGCAAGGGGTAACGGATAGAATACATATACTGTACATATATAAGTATATTTTATATAGAAAGACATATTAAACTTCCATGACTGGAGTGCAAATGTTCGTATCATCACAAAAACATCTGCCCCCACCGGGATTCGAACCCGAGACCTCTTCAGTCGGCGACAGCCATGAAACCCAGCGTACAAACCACTCGACCACGGAGGTTGTCGAATGAATCTTCAATTCATCTCATGCAATCAGCAAGAGTCATTCTCAATGACTTTCTGATTGCGGAGCTGTCAAAATTCATGCTTGGGCCTTAGTACGGACAACGGACTACAACGGACGAGTGTAAGTAGCAAAGTTACACTACAACGGACAAGTGTAAATATTGTAAGTAGCAAGTGTTAGTAAGTTTTACAACAAGCTTATTTCATAGCAGCCTACGTTTATCTCAAAAGGGAATACATTTATTTATTAGCGATAGTGTTATGTTTGGCGGCCATTTTGTCCATGGGGGTGTACCCCTCCGGCTATTAGACTCATGGGCTCATCGCGTCGCTATCTCCCCTTCGCGAAGATACCACGTCATTAGTCATTGTGTGCCCACTATTTTTCCTGTGATACTCAACTTTTAAGGGAAACCAATAGCTGCTAATATTGCTTCGTTTTTCCATAGAGAAACAAAGTTTTCTATACTGTCACATCCGCACAGACAATGAAACTCTGTCAACTGTTAATGGAATTTTTAAAACTATAATAGACGTATTGGCTCGATTACATTTGGTCGTTAGCCCGAATAAGAGTGCCAATGCAATTCGGGTAAACGATTAAGTGGAAATGAACGGAGTCGAGTACGCCTGTATTCGGGTAGTTTTTGTTTTGGTTACCCGACACCGTCTTCCAGCCCGTATTCCAGTGAAATTATTACTTCAGGTGCCCGAATTCGAGTAATGTCTGACTTGCACCCGAATGCGAGCTAACGACCAAGTGTGATTGAGCCATTAGACTGGTATTATCTTTTTAATACAGGGTGTTCGTTAACGATTTTTGGAATAAGTAGCGTAAATATTCGACAAACAACTTAAATTAAGCAGGTAGTTTCTGTTGGAAACGAAGATAGATTTAAAACTGACAAAAAGATTATCTGCCGTTAATAAACTGACCCCTGTAGGCAAGTAAGCGAGGCGAAAGTCTTGGTAATGTAGAGTGTTAGTAATGCGTATGAGCAGAGCCAGATTTAAGGCAGGGCAGGCAGGGATGGCACCAAAGGGAGTTGGGGGTGCAAATCCTAAGTGGCTCGGCCCAGATTTAGGGGTCTCCGCTCCTTCGTTGCACCGGGGCTTCCACACCCATAAATCCGGCGTGTACGACATGCCTTCACCAAGATCTGCCCTCTTTAATACGATGAGGAGACTGC